ACCTTCCGCGCCACCATAGTGGGGCACAGCGTGGCAGTCCTGTCGGACAACACGACCGCCATGTTCTATATGAACAAGCAGGGCGGGTCCCGGTCTTCTCCCCTCTGTCACGAAGCACTCCAACTATGGAACTTCTGTATAGCCCATGCGATACACCTCATCGCGACGTATCTTCCGGGAATTCAAAACGGCTTAGCAGACCACCTCAGCCGCTCCTACCGAATGCACGAATGGACGCTGAAGCGAGACGTCCTGCATTCGATCTTCCGGAGGTGGGGCTTTCCCCGGGTGGATCTATTCGCCACCGGGGACAACAGCCAATGCCCTCAGTTCTGCTCATTCCAGAACCTCAGCAGGGGATCATTAGCAGATGCCTTCATGATCCCGTGGGGAGGGAGCCTGAGATACGCCTTCCCCCCGTTCCCACTCATACACAAGTTTCTCCTCAAGACCCGCAGGGACAGGGCGACGATCATACTCATCGCCCCGGCCTGGCCACGCCAGCATTGGTTCACGTCCCTGCTGGAACTGTCCATAGCCGATCCAATCACCCTCCCCCTCCATCGCGACCTAGTCACGCAAGATGAAGGTCGCCTACTCCACCCGAACCTGTCTTCGCTACATCTCACGGCATGGTATCTCTCTGGCTGAGTGATGCAGAACACAGGTGTTCTCACCAAGTTCAGCAAATCCTCCTTAATAGTAGGAAGCCCTCTACAAGAGCGACCTACCTGGCAAAATGGAAAAGGTTCTCCCACTGGTGTGAGCCTCAACACATACAGCCTTTACAAGCCTCAGTTCCGTCTATCTTGGACTACCTACTGCACCTCAAGAATCAAGGGCTTGCGCCCGCCTCAATTAAAGTTCACTTAGCCGCTATTTCGGCTTTCCATCCGGGGGAGTTGGGAGTGTCAGTGTTCTCCAACCCCACAGTGGCCCGATTCCTCAAGGGGCTGGAAAGGGTGTTCCCCTACTCGCGCCCGCCTGTCCCGGCGTGGAGTCTGAACCTAGTCCTAACAAGACTCATGAGTCCTCCCTTTGAGCCCCTAGCCACTTGCTCCCTCACGCACCTCTCGTGGAAGGTGGCGTTTCTCGTGGCCATCACATCGGCCAGAAGGGTATCGGAATTGAGGGCCCTCTCTTCGGAACCACCCTATACAGTGTTCCGTAAAGATAAGGTGCAACTGAGGCCGCACCCCAAATTCCTCCCAAAGGTGGTATCACACTTTCACATGGGGCAGGACATTTGCCTACCGGTGTTTTTCCCTAAACCCCATACGGACCCTCTCCAACGCAGCCTACACGCTCTAGATGTCCGAAGGGCGTTGGCATTTTACCTGGAACGGACCAGAGCATTCCGCAGAACTCCCCACCGGTTCATTGCGATTGCGGAGCGTATGAAAGGCTTGCCTATCT